TACGGTCGCCGGTACCGTCGCTGGCATCACTGGCCCAATGATTTCCTCCCCTTCAAGTGGGAACGACCATCACAAGATCCACCTTATCTGCGAACCGGTGATGCCGTCAGGGACATTGGCTACTGGGATCCAAAATCGCTGGTCCCGGGGGCTGAGCACTCAAAGGAACTGGAAAAGTAAGTAGAGAGTTCCTATATTGAAGCCATTCTGCTAACACAACAGCTTTTTCAGAGCTCCAGAGATTGTCCGTCGACTTTTTAGTCTAGAGTTTGCTGAAAGGGTAAGGAATACTTGTTAAGTTTCATTATTGGAGTCACTTCTAATCTCGGGTTTGCGCTTGTTTACTGCAGGATCAAGTTGTAGAATTTCAAAGACGCAAAATTGTTTCACTCATTCAGCGTCACCCACTGGATGACAACTCACCTGAGGTGAAAAGTAAGTCTGAGCTCTGTTGTTGATTTTACATTTGACTTTAACTGAACTCTCGATTCTTATTTAGTCGCCCAGTACACAGTTCGCATTCGTAACAACCTGCACCGCTTCACAAAAATTGACAAATACGTAAGTGCTACCATGCTGATTTAGAAATTGCTCACTCTAGTACTAAAAAACAATAGGATGCACCACGAAAAATTGTCCAAGAGACGCTCAAGAACCGTCGGGCAAAGCTGCTGAAAGACCTCTTTTACCAAGACCGGGATCGGTACGACTACGTCATCAAGCTGCTAGGGATCACCCACGAGGTGCCTAAAATGGGCGTCAAATACCTAAAACCAACACGAAAGGGAGAGCTACGCCGACTGACAGCCGAGTACTGCGACCGTCTCAAGGAGGAACGCCTCACTGAGTACCACGAGGAGTTGAAGCGCAAGCAGGAAACACTAACTGAAGAGGAGGAAAAGATTAAGCAGTTGATAGCCCAGGAGAGCAAGTACCTCGGCACGCAAAATCCACCCACTGAAAAGTGATGGCTTCAATCTTATGAATATTAATAAAAATCTGTAGATCTAACAGGTTTCTAATTAGATCTTTCGAATAAGGCCAACAAAGGCTTTTTAACTAAAGAAGCGGGTTGAAACGTGCAAGTGAGCACAAGCATACGTGGACTAAGTTTGAGGGTAGGAAAAAGAAGTTGATTTCGTAGCATTAAAACTTTAAGGACTTGTACAATCCACGTCACTGCTGCATAGCACAGGTGCTGCTCTACTAAGCTTATAACCACGTCATTACGCACTTTATTTCAGCACTCATTTCTAAATCATCTACACACGCTTGCTTATTCGGGTTTCTAAAACTTCTTTCTCTTTCTTGACGCCGTTCGGTAAAGTACTTCGAACCATTTGGAAATATCCTTTTCACAGTAAAGTTCCTAAAACTTTTGCACCACCCCTGCCAGCCTTTTCGATCTTTTTCCTGGTTACAATTCTCAACCGGCGTGTGCCCACTTCATCAGCATTGATTGGCCCACACTGTGGCCATTCGAAAAGCAAAGCAGCATTCCTCTTCTTTCTCCTTTGCCCCGCCAAAGATGCTGACCGACGAAGTGGTCAGTGAAAGCCTGGAGCCGACCGCCGCCGTGGTGGTGGCGGATAGTGACACTGCTGCTGCCTCAGCTGCGAGCGATGAAGAGCAGCCCGTGTATCTGGTAAATGGTCTGGAGGGCTACTGGTACCTCTCCTCTNAGTGACACTGCTGCTGCCTCAGCTGCGAGCGATGAAGAGCAGCCCGTGTATCTGGTAAATGGTCTGGAGGGCTACTGGTACCTCTCCTCTGATGGCACCTCCATACTGCCTCTGCTCAACTACGGCGACCTTTCAGCTGAGCCCGGCACCGTCATCGCCCAGCAGCAGCAGCAGCAGCAGTATGCGCCCAGTGATGAGCTATCATTGATAGTAGCCGCAGAAAACTTTGAGAGCTTCGCCAACTCACAGCAGCTGATGGAAGGAGCTGCGGTTGAAGGGACTGCTGCAGCTGCTGCTGACGGTGCTCAAGAAGGTGGTGCCTCGTCGTTCGAAATGGTGACCAGCCATCCCTTTGAGGTGTGTCACCACGAGGAGCAGGTGACGGCAGTGGAGGTGGAGAGCGTCCTTCCCCTGATGAGCCCTGAGGAGCGAAAGAAGGCGGCGAAGAAGAAGCGAGACCGTCAGAAGCAGCGCCAGCAGGAGTACAACCGGCAGATGGCCGATGCTGCTGTCGCCGGCGGCGAGGGCGCTCTTGAGCCGAATGAAGTGCTACTGAAGGAGATGTCGACAAAGTACGCCCACCAGCGCTTTCCCATAAAGCTGTGGAACCTCGCCAGCGATGAGCAGTTTGAGCCGATCAAGTGGGCAGATGAGGGCACCAGTCTGATCATCGACGAGTACCTGCTGGAGCCGACGCTGCGGTACTTCTTTCGCTCGCACAAGTTCAGCAGCTTCCTCCGTCAGCTGCACCTCTACGGTTTTCGGAAGATGACTCGAATGCGCAGTCACAAGGGCGACCAGGAGAAGGTGCGCACCGACTACATCAGTGAGTACGGCATGGATAACTTTCTGCGCGGCAATCTGGATCTGGCGAAAAAGGTACTTCTAAATAATGCCTTTTTAGAAAATGCACTGATGGTAACACACTTCGATTTGCTAGATTCGTCGATTCTACGGGAACATTGGCGGAAGCAGCAGCAAAAAGGCAAAGAACGATGAGGAGGAGGAAGAAGAGGTGGAAGAAGGAATGGTGGTGGAAGAGCATCAGCAGGTGCTGCTGGGGCAGATGCAACCGTCAACTTCATCTGATGCATCGTTTATGCCTCTGATGTCCTTCGACCCCTCTCAGCAGCAAGTCATGTCGTTCATGGACTTTGGGCAAATGGCCATGCCCATGTACGACCCTCAGTCGTCATTGCCCTACTTTCCTACTCCGGTCTTCTACTACGATAATGGGTACTTTGTGCCGATGACTGTCACTGGCCCAACTGCAACTGCAAATGCTGCTTGCACCATTGAAGAGGAAATGGCTCCTTCATCGCAAACGACGTCTTCTGCGGAAGAAAAGTCATCGTTGCAGGATCAAGAAAAAGCGGAAGAAGTCGTCGAGAAAAAGGAAGAGCAGCAGCTCGTCAGCATCAAAGAAGAAGAGAAAGAGAAGGTGGAAAAAGTTGCCGAGAAGAAGGAAGAGCAACTTGTGAGCATCAAAGGAGAGGAGGTGTTTTCAGACGGCGACAAGTAGACTGACAAATTCTAACGACAACAAAACTGTCCACAGACCACCACCAGCACAAGCGCTCCAACTTTTTCCTGCATTAACTTTTTGCGCAAATGGCTTTGCGATTTTATCCCACTTGAATTTCTTTGTTTTCATCTTTAGCTTTTACAAACTTTTACTGTACCCATTTACGAAAATAGCATCTTTTTTACTAACTTCTTCACCTTTACTTACAAAAGACAAATTAGATTTTAATTGCAATAAAATAATTAAAACATCACTAGCTCTTGTACAAGTAGCCTAGTGGACTTGCGCTCATGAGTGAGCCACGTCAGCGAACTAGTGTGTCAAATCACGGGAGCTGCTGGAATAGCTACTGGACGGTGAAGCGGCGGCATCAAATTGGTCAATGAGATTTTGACGCGATCGCGAAGTGCTCTGGCTTCGGGGAGTGCTTGCCTTGATTCCCTGGATCATGCTGAGGCCATTCAAGCTGATGTTCTCTGCCTGTCTTCCACGGTTGCGCTGGTCGGCTTTCACGTGACGTCTGGACAGCTCAATGGACACCTTAGCCTCCTTCTGCAATAGCTGACACTGCCACATGGTGGCCATCCAGAGGATAATTGCGCCCAAGACGGATCCGATAACCTGAAACCACTGGAGGGTGCCCCAGCCAGGCAGAACCACGGGGACGCTGGTGTTGGTGAGCAGCGCTCGTATGCTGGCCACATCAGCGCCCAGGTTGGTGTGATTTGTCAGTTGTCGGTAAGACACTCCTCCCGCCCAGACGGTCGGAGTAAGCGGTGACCAGGCAAAGACCCACAGAATGAGCATCTTCCCGGAAGAGCCAAGCAAAGAACGACGAGGACGGCGCTGAAAGAAAACGTCAGCAAACGTAAAAGTAGTCATCTAAGTTTAGTAGCAAAAAATTAAATGCAACAAAAAGGTACTTTTTGACACGTTTTGCCATATTTGTAGAAAAGAAATCACCTTAGAAATTCCATTTTTTAAATAGAACTTTGAAAAATGCGCAATTTTTAAAAAATGTTTTATCGATAGTCCTCGCGACCATCGTAAAAATCATCGATACTCGCACGTGGTTTGCTCCAGCTGTTGAGATTTTGTATTTTGTTTTCTTTTGAATGCCAACTTCTTTTTACACATCTTCCGGTTATCTTCTCAAGTCCAAATAATGCCGCCGGCACTAGTTCAGCAGATTCTTCAGAAAGCCGAAGAGGAGGAGCTCAAGGCGCAGCAACTTGTTGAAGTTGAGAAGCAGATTGATCTCACCTACGATTTGAGACACCTGGCCGCCTTTGATCAGAATCCCATCGATGTTGAGGAGTTTCGGTGAGTTTAGTTTGATTTTTTAAAATCAACAAAATTATAACAATAACGCATTTTAGGTCTAACAAGGAGGCGTACCTTAGTGAGCTTGCCCGCGACAACACCCAGCTTGTAGTCAACCAGATATGGAGCACTTTGGAGACAAAGCGAGTCGACAATGTCGTCGTGGCGGTGCTTCCACGAACGGCCAACTATCTGCTGCCACGAGCAAAGCCAATTCCAAAGGAAAAGCCACCTACCAAGTGGGAGGCATACGCCAAGGAGAAGGGCATTCAGAAGAAGAAGAAGGAGAAACTTGTCTGGGACGATGTTGCTCGAGACTGGAAGCCTCGTTACGGCTTCCATGGCATCAATCAGAAGAAGGAGCAGTGGATGATTGAGGTGCCCGATAACAAGGACCCAAACGTGGACTACTTTGAGAAGCAGGCGGAAGAGAAGAAGGAGCGCTCCGCTAAAAACGAAGTCCAGCGGCTGAGAAACATTGCTCGATCGTCAAAGATGCGCTTGCCAGGCACCGCCGGCCTTGTTCCCAACGCCGAGGTGCCCAAATCGGACATTGACAAAGCGAAGCACATCGCCAAGCATGCCACCGCCTCGCTGGGCAAGTTCACCGAGCGCCTGCCCGACGAGACTGAGCCGAAGAACCTGGGAAAGAAGCGCAAGTTTGAGTCGAACACTGCTGCCGACATGTCGGAGGAGCGTTCAAAGAACCTGAAGCTCATCGATCAGGTGCTGGCCAGTCAAAAGAAGCCCATCGACGACTCGGCGGAGGAGAGCGCCCTGAGGAGTGCCAAGAAGAGGGTGAGGGCGGCGAAACGAGGCGGTGGTGATGAGGCGGGCGAGGAGGACATTGGCGATCGATTCGACAAGAAGAATCGAGCTGGAGCAGGTGGTGGCAAGAAAAAGGGTGGCAAGCCATCGAAGGGCGGCCCTAAGGGAGGCAAAAGTAGTCCAGCGGTGAAAAAGTCCTTCAAGAAGGGACCACAGGTGGGCGCTAAGAGAGGAGGGGGAGGAGGCAAACGTAGGTAAATGTTGAACATCTTTAATGTGTGTATTATAAATTATATTTGGTTTATACAAAAAGATAACACGTTTCGTAAATATGTTGTAAGGAAGGCAAATTATTTTTAGAGAGAAAGAGAAAAAGTTGTGGTCGTTTTGTGAGATCGACATTGACACTGTCTTGGCTTGATACTTTACTTCTACTTCTTTCGTTGTTTTGGTGATTTTTTTCAGTCGTTTCAGTCGCTCGTCACCAGATGATCCGGGAGTGCGGCTCAGCGTCAGAGTATTTGATAGTCCGTGTGGCAAAGATGTACAGAGTGGCAGCGTTGATGAGCAGCGCCCAGGCGAGCTCAAAGAAGATCGTCCATCGGGTTGAGGGCTTCTTGAGGTGCAGTCGCCAGAGAAGGTAGGGGACGATGAAGTAGCGCAATTCCAGCAGCTGCTGGGGCACAATGGTCACAATGATGAGCAGGCTGAAGAGCAGCTTGGCGAGAACATGCTGCGTGGCCCTCAGAGAGACGGCGATGGCGGCGGTGTTCTTGCGAGGACTGCCCCAAGACGGCCTGACCACCGGTTGCGGCACAAACTCTACCGAGTGCCACATGGAGACCATCGTGAAGATGTACAGTGGTATTGGCCATGTTCGCAGCTCTGGATAGGCCTCATTGGACCAGATACGACGCCAGATGTAGAAAACATAGTGCCGATTGTCGGCGATTAAATACGGGTGCACGTAGCGAAAGCGGTCAGATAGCGCCAAATAGAGCGACGTGGAGGAGAGGAGAAAGAGAATAGCGCCTCGAGTTGTGCCAGCAAGACGATAAAAGTGGCGAGCATTTTCCATTGTGAAGATTACCGGTGCTCCGATGAAGGTGACAAAGCTGAGAAAATAGGGAATCTGTGCCACATGAAACACTGGCAGGTGGGCTGAACGATCACCAAGAACGATGCCTGTAACGTAAAGTAGAAAGTTATAATCTGATTGATTTATAAATTGATGATTACCTTCATTGAGATAGAGAAAACCAACAAAAAGAATTCCGTTGAGAACATAGCCACCACAGGTAGACAAAACAGATATGGTAAAATCGTAGAGCAAACAGAGACAATAACGCCAGTTTTTGAGGTGACACTCGCGCAAGGGGAAGTTTTTGGTGAAACCAAGCAAGAAAAACTCGCACTTGCGACCACGTTGGTAGTCTTCGATGAGATTATAAGTGATCTGAAATGAGAGCAGTTTCAGTCAGTTTACGGTTCAAGATGTTTACATTTTTTGTTTTTAGTACACTTACGTTAAGACAGCAAAAAGCAGCGGTCAGAAAAAGCCAGACGATGTTAGTTTGACGAAACCAAAGCGATGCAAAGCCAGCAATGGCAGCAAACATGTGATGGCCCTTCATTGCTGACCACTGGACAAGCAAGATAGTAAACATTGATCCGACGTCAGTGTAGTAGAGGAAGGAAAAGAAAAAGAACGGCGGGAAAAGTGATACTGCAATTGCTTGAAGTAAAATCTCAAGACTGCCACCGCTGTCTCTGTTCACCGCCAGTTTAGACTTTAACATCGCCCAGATGATCATAAAGTTGCAGCCGGAGAAAAGGACGTTGACCAGACGGAGGTTGTTGACAGAACAGGCAATTGCATGTGGAACGCCAAAGAGAGCGCCAACTGGTCGAATGATGGCGTAGGAGACCAAGTAGAGACCGGGCGGAGTGGTGATTTTGTTGTCCCACTGGTGAAGGAAAACAGTCAATTCATAATCAGGACCAACTACACTTTTACTTACTGAACTGAAATTATTATCCACACAGTACTTTTGCGCTTGTGGAATGTGAAACACTTCATCGATAAAGGGTAAGGGTTGAACCCGCTGTAGAATCGTAAAGATGACTAGAATTGAGGTGAGAAAGAAGATGGCAATGGCCACGGAAGCCTTGTACGCTGCCGATGACATGGCGGTGGCTTTGGGCGCAATGAAGGAGAAGTCCTCAAAGTGTAGTTGCCGCTGGAACTGATGAGGTGCTGATGATTTGGCAGCTTCTGTTTGTGAAGCGTCGGTGGTTTCTGCACTAAAGAGCTCACGTGGAGCGACTGCAGCAGTGGCGGCGGCAGCGATTTTTGCTGCCTGTCGCAGTGGAGTAGAGGTCGACGGTGGACGCCACTGCGTGGCGTCAAACGGCTGTTGCTGCGTCTGCGGCTGGTTTTGGTAGTGGTGGTGGTGGTGATGGTGGTGGTGATGGTGCTCGGGAGATGGCTTTGGCGACTGACTGGAAGACCGCTGAAGCTCCTGGGCCAGGCGACGACGCTTCAGAATGGAGCACTGTCGGCAGGGGCTCTTCCCGGGACTGGAGTTGACCGAGGAGGAGGAGACATCGGACAGCTGAGACGGCGGTCGACTGGGCCACTTGACGGGCGTCGATTGCCGCGAAGAGCCGCCAGAGTACGTAGACCCTTGCTCCTCACTGTTGGCGGTGTTTGGGTGGCGAAAGTAGGCAAAGCTGCTGCTGCTGCTGTTGTTGGGCTCCATCATTTCGAACCGTCCGCATCACGCAGCAGCAGTGACGGCCGAATGAATGCCGCCGCTTTGAAGAGTGACAGCTCGCCCGGGGAGTGGTCCAACGGCCAGCGGGGCAGACCGGTAGTCGTCTTCACTCGCTTCAGTGGTCGTTTAGCGCCTGAGGCGATATGGCTGCAGTTATCAACAATGTTTTGCCAATCAGTCGCAGTTCACTCTCGAGAGTTTTGGCAAACATTAAGTGTAGAAAGAAGGCTGATAAACACTGAATTTCCAAAGAAAGCTCAACAAACGTCAAAATGACGTAAACAGATGTGGTTCTTCAGTTCCTCACTAGCTGTCGCCACAGTCGATGTAGAATCAAGAATGAATTTCTTTTCGACTTTGAAATGATCCAATCACAAATTGTGTGGTTGTTTACTCGCCTTACAGTTCAGTACAACAGTCGTAACAAGAGTGATTATAAATAATAAAAATAATTAAAAACAATTGAAGCCGACGGAAACAGTCCGGACAGGAGTGGTGGTGGTCAAGGTCCCTGGGCTCGTCAGCAGACAGAGAGGAATCGTNCGCACCACTTTAGCTTCACAGGCTGTGAATCACAGCCTCTGCTGGCCTCGGCTGTAAACAAATAAGCAAACAAATACTGAAAAATATTTATTCAAAAATGTAAAAATTAATTAACAAACAAAAACAAAAACAAAAACAAAATAAAAATTAATTAACAAACAAAAACAAAAACAAAAACAAAACAAAAACAATTTTACTTTTTGCCGACT